ACTCTTCAGCTCCTGGGCATCTTCCTAACCACCAATTTACAGCTCAAGAGACTTTCAATTGGGATCAGCACTCAGCCAGACCTCTACCATCTGCAGCCTTTGCTAGTACAAACTCTGTTCTTGGACCACCTCCATCTACTCAACAATGGTTCCCTGATTCAGGTGCTACTCACCATGTGACTGCTGATCCACTCAATTTTCAGCACAGTGAACCTCTTGTTTCAACTGACAAACTTTTTATGGGTAATGGTCAAGGTGTGGATATCAAATCTCATGAGTATTGGTTTTTCTTCCTTTCTATCTCCCTATTCTAAGTCTCAATCTCTTATGTTAACTAATATGCTTCATGTCCCTTCTATAACCGAAAATCTCATGAGTGTTAGTAAATTTGCTAAAGACAACAATGTTTTCTTTGAATTCTATCCTTATGATTGTTATGTCAAATCCCAGGCTTCTAAACAGGTTCTTCTACATGGAGTTCTTGGTGCTGATGGTTTATACAAGTCCAGTCCATACCTCCTCTTGGTTTACATCAATTCAAAGATGCAAGTCTGTCTACCTCAATAGTGTCCACAACAAACACCCCTCTGTATCCCCTTTCTTTTGTTTCCACTTATAATACGTCTACCCCTTGTAATAATGCCTCAGTTTCTTGTAATGTTTGGCACCTAAGATTAGGCCATCCACATTTTGAAGCATTGAAATCTGTACTCAACACTTGTAATGTGTCTGGCATAAATAAAAGTGATGTTTCATTTTGTTCTTCTTGTTGTCTTGGTAAGGCTCACAGACTACCCTCACACTCATCTCATACTGTCTATAAGTCCCCATTTGATCTTATCTTTACAGACTTATGGGGACCAGCCCCCATGTATTCATTTGATGGATATTCATATTACATCTCCTTCATTGATGCCTGAACCCGATATACTTGGATATATTTTCTAAAGAAGAAATCTGATGCCCTAACAGTCTTTCAGAACTTCCATAAATATGTTCAAACTCAATTTTCAAAATCCATCAAATCTGTTCAATCTGACTGGGGAGGTGAGTTCAGATCATTTACCACCTTTCTTGCTGAGAATGGAATAACACATAGGCTTATTTGTCCAAATACACATCATCAGAATGGTGTTGTGGAAAGAAAACACAGGACTATAGTTGAGAAAGGCCTTTCCATTCTTGCTCATTCCTCATTACCTCTAAAATTCTGGGATGTTGCCTTCTCCACCTCAGTTTATCTTATCAATAGAACTCCATCCACTTCCATTGCCAACTGCAGTCCATATTTTCAACTCTATGGAACCAGTCCAGATTACTCTCTCCTAAAAGTATTTGGTTGTTCTTGCTATCCATTCATTAGACCCTACAACAAACATAAAATGGCCTTTCATTCAGAAGAGTGCATCTTTATAGGTTACTCACCTCAGCACAAAGGCTATAAATGCCTCTCCTCTTCTGGCAAAATCTACATCTCTAAGGATGTTACCTTTCATGAGGCAAGATTTCCTTACTCTATTCTTTTCCCATCCACCTCTGCTGATTCCAAGTCATCTCAGTCTTCACTTTCTGCCCCCTTAACTGTGTTTCATCCTTCTTCTTTCTCTAGTGTCTCTTCTTCCCAGATCACTGAACCACAATCTACTTCTCAAAGTCAAAGTCTGTCCCATACATCTTCTTCCAACTTTCAGAATTCTAACTCTGACCAAAACCATACGTCTCCACCCCAGTCTCCAAATAACTCAACCCAGGTTTCACAACATATTTCTCCTACAACTTCATCTTCTTCTCCTATTCCAACTAACACTCATCCTATGCAAACTAGGGCAAAGTCGGGAATTGTTAAACCTAGATTGAATCCCACCTTACTGTTAGCTCATACTGAGCCTCAATCAGTTAAGCAAGCTTTATCTTCTCCACAATGGTTTTCTGCTATCCAGGCTGAATATGATGCACTGATAGCAAACCATACATGGTCACTTGTTCCTCTGCCACCAAACAAACAAGCTGTTGGATGTAAATGGGTTTTTAGGGTCAAAGAAAATGCTGATGGTTCTCTAAACAAATTCAAAGCCAGACTAGTAGCCAAAGGATTTCATCAAAGATTTGGATTTGATTTTAGAGAAACCTTTTCCCCTGTTGTAAAACCCATTACAATCAGAATCTTGCTCACTCTAGCTATATCTCACAAATGGTCAATTCAACAGCTTGATGTGAATAATGCCTTTTTAAATGGCAATCTAGAGGAAGAGGTCTATATGGTTCAACCTCCAGGCTTTGAAGTCAAGGATAACTCTCTTGTTTGGAAACTGCATAAGTCACTATACGGACTTAAACAGCCCCCCGGAGCTTGGTTTCAAAAGCTAACCTCTGTTCTCTATGCTGCTGGATTTAAGCAAAGCAAATGTGATCCCTCTCTGCTTACCTTTCTACAGCCTGGAGTTCAAATCTACATTCTGATCTATGTAGATGATATCTTGGTCATTGGGAATAATCACACTGCTATTCAACAACTCATTCATAAGCTCCATTCATCCTTTTCTTTGAAACACTTGGGGGAAATTGACTTCTTTCTAGGTATTGAAGTCAGGAGACAAAGTAATGGGAGTTTACATTTATCTCAAACCAAATACATCAGAGATCTTCTACACAAAGCTGGAATGCTTGAATCCAAAGGAGTCAAAACTCCTATGGTTAGTAACTGCAAACTCACCAACACAGGTAGTAATCCTCTACCTGACCCTTCTACCTACAGATCAATTGTTGGGGCCTTACAGTATGCAACTCTCACACGGCCAGAAATTAGCTTTGCAGTTAATAAAGTTTGTCAATTCATGGCCACACCTCTACAGGATCATTGGCAAGCTGTCAAACACATTCTCAGATATCTCTCTGGTACCATAACCCATGGTATTATTATCAAACCCTTGCCCCTTGCCACTATTCCTTTGCCAATCTCAACCTTTTGTGATGCTGATTGGGCATCTGATCATGTTGATAGAAGGTCCACTTCTGGATCCTGCATTTTCTTTGGTCCAAACATTATTTCCTGGTGGTCAAAGAAGCAAGTGAGGGTTGCAAGGTCTTCAGCAAAAGCTGAGTATAGAAGCTTGGCTAACACAGTTGCTGAACTTTTATGGATCCAATCTCTGCTTAAGGAACTTCAAGTTCCTTTCACTATTCCCAAAGTTTACTGTGACAACCTTAGCACAGTACAACTTGCACATAATCCAGTACTTCAGTCTCGCATCAAACACATGGAGATTGACCTATTCTTTGCCAGGGAACAAGTTCAGTCTAAACAGCTTGAAGTATACCACATTCCAGCCCCCTATCAAATTGTTGATGTTCTTACAAAGCCATTGACTGCCTCATCCTTCCTTGAGCTCAAGACCAAACTTAGTGTGACTGATGTTCCACATCAATCACCCTAAATTTGTGGGGGGAATGTTAGAGATACTATATCTACGAATAATGTAATAAGCCTAGTATTCAGTTAGCCAGTTATAGTTAGTCAAGCTGTTTAGATTCAGTTACAAGTTTGTTATACCACTTCTCTATAAATATTGATGTACTGGTATTATGTGATTAATGAAATCCTTCTACTTCATATTATACTCTGGCTACTTTTCTAATATCGCCTATTGTAGATCATTTTAAAATGAGCTTAGTCTAATAAAACAACCCTTATCCAAAAGAAGGCCTATTATGATTAAGCAAAGCTGACACAAATTTCTATTGTAATATCATAGTATGGCGTATTATTTCAAGCAGCTTAATTAGTTAATAACATACACTTGCATGGTACACTTGCACAACTATCTAGCGTTTTAGACTTGAAATGCGCAAAAGCTAATACTCAACAGTACAATAGTAACAGTGAAGTCTCTTTTTTAGCTTGTTAACCTCATCGTCCATTTTTTACTAGACATTGAACTTTTGATTTTGTTTCTGAATTGTGTAATAACCAAAATAAGTATAGTTTGAGTTACTTTGTTGATTTGACTAAATTTTCTTAAGAGGACAATTTTATCTTTTTTCATATAACTTGTTCTTTTTTCGGTCAATAAAATATATTTTAAACATAATTTTCTCATAAGTTCAACAATTTCGGTGTACTTAGCCGGTTCAGCCAATTTGATAGTTACCTATTGTGCTCTAAATTTATGTAGCACACAAGAGAAGGGTGGGACTTGTTTGTCCGAAAAATACACATAAAGAATCCATAATAACCTCACTAACAAAGACACCACTTTCACTTTGGTATGTTGAGCTTAAGCAAGTGTCATTGGACTCAAGTTTAACAAAAACTGAATGAACTTAAGTGAATTAATCTGTGTGCGTATGTTATGGCATAAATATGTTTGTATTTCATGTTAATATAGAACTTTTTAAGATCCCAACAACTTTTCTTTTCATTCATGTAATGTATATGATTTTCTTTTTAATCTTTCTCTATCTCCTTATCAGAGAAAATATATAGAGCACGCTACACTGCTCACTAAGGAGCACGCTGGCGTGATGAATGGTCGGGGTTCTCTAAATATTTTAGATGAATGATCATAGCTATCCATCACGAGAAAATACAAAGAGCACGCTAGTGTGCTCACTAAAGAGAAAAATGGTTTGATGAATGGTCAATATTCTTTAAATATTTTAGATGAATGAATCTTAGCCATTCATCACGACAGCGTGCTCCTTAGTGAGCACGTTAGCGTGTTCCATAAATCTACTCCTTATCATTCTCCATTGTATAACTTCACTCTTAACTTTTAACTAAAGTTTTTATAAGCTTTTGGAGCCTTGATAGGGACCCAAACACTCCTCCTTATAAGAAAACTATTAAGTAGTTTAATATTGTACAGTAAGAGGGTTCTAGTCCCAATAAATTAGTGGTGAGGGCCAGCCCTGTAGGAGAATATTATAATAAGCGCAGGTAAGGGGAAAGGAAGGAAGGCAGAAAATTGGGATCGGGCTGAGAATTGGGAGTGTGAGATTACTCGAAGCGTCTCAAAGTATCCGTTCTTCTCTTTCTTCCTGTCTGCGCCATTGTAAACCAATTAGGGTTCTGAAATCTTCATCAACAATATACTAATATTCTACTTCGTTGTTGAGTTCCCTATCAAGCCTCATAGTGGAATATAATTTAAATGACACTAATCATTCGCAATTCTGAAATTATCTTGAAAGTGGAATAAAAATTAAATGACTCTAATCATTCACAATTTAGAAATTATCTTGAAAATTTTAAAGTAGTGTTGGAATAACTTGACAAAAAATTGTATGTTTCATGATGATATATAGGTTGCTGGGATCAGTGAAAAACTAATTAAATGAAAAACCGTATAAATTACATGGATGAAAACAAATTGTACGGAACTAAATAAGATTTAGATTCAATATATAAGCTATGCAAAAGAAGGTTAAATTCAATAAATAAATTAAAGTTACTTATAAAAACATTGCAAGGTAAAATGACAAACCTATAAGGTAAATTTTAATTTAACTGTAAGAGAACATAAGCTCATCCCAAAAAAGCACATAAATTATTAGAGAATAACTAAAACATTAAAATGGACACACACACATATGATATGTTTTAATTAACTATAATGCTTCATTATATTAAAAACCTTAATAAATGAAATGGAAGATTTTAAAGATAATGATGGTATATAAGTTGATGGGTCATCAACAGTGCTATAAATTAATGGAAGAAGGTTATATTATGATTCCGAAAAATGAAGTACAAATGTGCAATATTTAAGTAATAAGGAACAGGATCTGAACATAGATATGGGCATAATACAGGTTTACTGACCAATATTCACATATATATGGTTCTTAGATTTAACTAGTTAAAACAGCTTCACTGTTGTACGTCCGTGTTTCCTCAATCTGGAGAACGTGCGCAAACGAGAGTGCCTTTGAGGGGTGCATTACATTGAAACTTGAAAGTATAGTTTGAGGACTAATATTGACCAAATGGGAGTGTTGGCAGGGCCTAATTTAGTAACATTTGAAAGTTTAGGAGTCCATATTAGATTTTTTTTCCCTTTATCAAATCATAATAGTAATAATAATATAAAGGTCTACTTGGATAATAATTTGCATGTTATGCTCTGGATAGCTCCATTGCAAATATTCCATCATTTGCAATGGAGCCAAAGACTCACTATTTTTTGGCTTGGAATATGATGGAATAAAGCAAAATGACTCACTAAACTATATGTGCTTCTTTGTTATGAAACAGCAATTAGTCCATGTAATCTTCGACGCGATTTTCACTATGGGTCATCCGAAAACAACCTCTCTGTGTTTTAGTACAGGGGTAAGGTTGCGTACATCCGATCCACCCTTACCCCACCGTAGGTGGGGAGCCTTTGCGGCACTAGGGTGATGATGATGATGATGATGATTGATAAGTATAAACATTCCTAAAACCGGATAAGGGGTGATTCAATTGTTATATGGTCACCTGCTAGGTTATGTTGTTATCTCATCAAATTTATGAAATCTCAAGATCTAGACTTAGTCCTTGAGAATCCTCCATCCAAATTGAACCTAACAAGATTTATATTGTGTAGTTAAAACTCTAGTTCCCCCCTCCCCCCTCCCATTAACCCTACCCCTACCTCTACCCCATATCACCCCACACCAGCCTATTAAGAGTGGAGAGCATTCTGGAAAAAATAATCACACAATACCAATACCAAAGGTAAAAGGAATGAATTATGTATGGCCAAAGCTTTCATACTGATGATATAAGCAATTCTGGGTGTTCAACCAGTCTTTCATTGACTTCCAACAGAGAGCCTTTTACACAGCATCTAGACAAGACAAAAGTATACTCAGCAATTATATACAATAATAAAATTTTCATAAGGTAATGATGCCAACATGAAATCCCCCCACCTCACGACGTAAGAAGTATCCTTTGTGCACACTTTACACAATGCTGAATTTGACTCAAAGAGTTGCGCATTCTGCATTAAACACAGATGTTTAAGTGTAGAATATGAATCATTTGGAAACATTGTGCTTTCAAGTATGAGCAAGTTTTGATTTGAGAAATGTTGACGACAACTAAACAAGTTGCTATGTAAATCGCGACTACTCAGGATTTAATTGTAGTGTTGGGAGTTACCTTAGTTTAAAAAAGCGCGCCTCAAAGGCGCAAGGCACACCTAGTCGATGGGCATGTCGCATCCGAAATACCCAGACACATCAGATTCTAAAAGGCGCACCCAATACCTCGTCGTTTGCCGCTTTTTGCGCATCTGAGAGGCGTTCACCTCTGGCGCCTCTGAGAAGATGTCTGCTCATCTTTGTTTTTTTGGCGATTCACATACCTAGTTCGAGCTTGGAGATTCACGTATCTAGTTCCAAAGGTCCGTAGGTATTATATATTGATGGGGTGAGGTTCCCTGACTCCATCAGAGTCAAGTTTTCTCTAATATTCTGCCTCTGCTATGCTTCCACTATCTCCTATCCTCTTTCTTCCACTCCTATCTAACGGCGCAGGTAAGTTTTATGATTTATTTTTTTGTTTCCTTTTATTATTTCTTCTCTTTTTATCTTAATTTCTTAAATTATCAAACAGTTTAAATTATTTATAAGTAAATACATGATCATATATCAATCTGCCCTAAACCCTAATCCCAATCACATAGTTTATAAATTTTAATTAATAATAAAGATGGTTTGTACATTCAGATTGTTTAATTTTTTTACTTTAGCAGTTTCAAACTACATTTTGGAGTTTTACGATTCAATTTTATGATTGGCTTTAGGTGTTTAATGTGTTTGCTGCTACCGTCTGAATCAACATTTTGTTTCTCTTAAGGTGTTTATTAGATTGTTTAATGGTTTGATGTATTTTGGTGATGTTATCATTTTTTGAGAAGAGAGCTTCATGTAGAATTAGTATAAATATGTTTTGCCAACGTTATACAGTTAAGTTCTGTGAGACGTGCGCCTTCGCCTCGTGCCTCGGTAAATTGTCCCAAAACGCCTCATGCCGCCTCGCGCCTTTTAAAACTAAGGGAGTTACAAGAATAAGTAAACATTATCCATGAAGGATAAGGATCATGTTTAGTCGAGTTTGGAAACAATATAAAGAACTTTGGCAACATTCCAAAAGAAAATGTTTGGAGGTTTTATTAGAAAATATGAATCAACTAAATCGATATTCATTAGTTCTTAACTTTAATAGGGTTAGAAGCACTTCTATCAAACAAAATGAACTAAAATGGTGCTTGTTACAGTGTTGTTAATCCCAGATAGCGGAGCGGCCAGCCTTGAAAACGCTATAGTGGTATAGCAGTATAGCGGATAGCGGGATGACCACTATTCAAACTATTTTTAAGTATAATACACAATTCACTAGAAGCATATAATTACATTACATACAGATTAGTAAAGTACGAGTATGATGTATGCCATTGAAAGTTGCAAACATCTTAACATTCTTAAATCCTAAATTACTCGGAAATATTCTTTAGTTTCATGAGCAAAACATATGATGCTACTAATGATTAAAACATCAGTCAAAGGCTCAAAGCATTGAATCAAAAACAAGTTCCTGGTTTAAGACTTGATAAATTAATAGTCTATCAGTCTACCACTCGAAAGAAACAAATAAGAGTGTAGCATGTGTCATTCTTGTACAAGATAAAGGAGCACAGGTCGTTCTTGAAAAAGATGGAGCAAAAAATTTTGTTGAAGCAGAATTTTCTCATCAGAGAGCAGAGAGAAAGAGAAGAAATACGGATTATTTTTCATATTTTTAAAACATGGAGCCATTTTTAAAGGTTCTACACTTCTGCGTACGTGTTTGTACGTGTACAAGGGTTTTAAGTTGCTTACTATTTAGTTGTAAAAGTCTACTTTACCCCTGTCCATCTGCAGTCAAAAAATAAACGCAGAAAAACCCTAGCAGACGATCGTAAAAAGCACCGTTATACCGTCCGCCTCTACCTGTATAGCACCCCTGCTATAGCGCCCGCTATGTCCGTGTTAGATATACTCTAGAATAGACTTATTACTATTACTTGCAACAAACTATCTGTTAGAGCTTGGTTAGAGTTAGTTAGCCCGTTGACCTAACCAACTCTATATATACTTTGTAATACTGCTGCTTCAGTTTAATGAAATCAATCTGTGTCTTCTCTCTTTCTACTCTCTGTATACTTTCTAATATGGTATCAGAGCTCTAGCTCGATCCATGGCGATCTCTGATGATTCTTCCAATTCCAAATCTACTGCCAATTCTGGCAACTCTCACTCTCTAGTAACCTTCGCACATTCTCTTCCGATTAAACTTGATGCAAACAATTTTCTCTTCTGGAAGCATCACGTTGAGTCTGTTGTTCGAGCGCATAAACTACTTCAATTCATTGTGAAACCGCAAATTCCGAAGCAATACAATCCTGACGATGAGGAAGCAAGTGGAAAAATCAATGAAGAGTATGTCATCTGGGAGCAACAGGATCAGATGCTGTTTTCGTGGTTACTTGCGTCACTTTTTGAATCCTTCCATGCTCGCGTAATCCATTGTAGATTTTCGCTATCAGTTGTGGAGCGAGATCAACAGTTACTACAAGTCACATATCCTTGCTAAAGCTAGACAACTCAAATCTGAGCTGTATAATACTGCGAAAGGTGATCGCTTATCTCTGAGTATCTTCTTCGTATCCAAACCATTGTTGATAACTTACTATCAATTGGAGAACCTATTTCAGTAAAGGAGCACATCAATGTTATACTGGAAGGCCTACCGCAAGAATATGAATCTCTAGCGTCCTCAATTTCCTTGCAAGGTCCTCTGGAACCTGTCACAATATCTGAGATTGAATCTCTTTTGGCTGCTAAGGAAATGAGATTGAAGAAACTTCATGAATCAACCCAACAAAATCTACTCTCTTCAAATGTGGCTCATCTTGAGTCCTCACTCTCAAATAATACTTCAGCTCCTGAAAACTCTTCAGAAGGATGCTTCTGCTCAAGTTGCACAATATACTATTCCTCCTAACACTGATTCATACGGAGGCAGAGGCCGTGGAGGTTCTGGAAGAGGTCGTGGTGGCAGATATGGTGGTCGCAGTTCAGTCATATGCCAAGTTTGTGGCAAAACTGGTCATCATGCTTTGATTTGTTATCACAGGTTCAATCCTTCTTACACTTATAGCCTCAAATAATCAATACAACTCCTATTCCAACTCTCAATCTTCCACTCCTAATCCAACTCCATCACCATTCACTTATCAACCAAGATTTCCCACTAACCAGTTTACTACTCCAATTTCTACTCCACAACCTCCTCACTGGGAACAACAGCCATATACCTCCTCATATGCAACCATACAACTCACCAACTCCACAACCTTATACTTCAACTCCTCAACAACCATATAATCCTACTCCTACTGCAACTCCTTCCATTTTGGGACCTGCTCCACAAAATCAACCATGGTATCCAGACTCTGGAGCCACTCATCATGTGATTGTTGATCCTTTGAACCTGCAACACAGTGAACCACTTGTCACAACTGATAAGCTTTTTATGGGCAATGGTCAAGGTTTGGAAATAAAGTCCATTGGTTTTACTACTTTTCCCTCACCCTATCAGTCTTCTTTATCTCTCTCAACAATATTTTACATGTTCCTTCTATAACTAAGAATCTAATTAGTGTCAGTCAATTTGCTAAGGATAATAATGCCTTCTTTGAATTTTATCCTTATGAGTGTTTTGTTAAATCTCAGGTTTCTAGACAGACTCTTTTACATGGCATCCTTGGAAATGATGGTCTGTATAGGTTTCATTCACTTCCAGTCCAAGCTACTCCACCAAGCAGAACTTCTCCTTTGTCACTTTCCAGTCCTAGTTCTACATCTTCTAGTACCTTTCTATCTAATTGTAATAATGCTAAGCCATGTAATACCTCTGAAACATGTACTCTTTGGCATCTATGCCTTGGTCACCCTCATTTTGAGGCTTTTAAATGTGTACTTCAACAATGTAATGTTCCTTATGTTAATAAAAATGCTATTGAGTTTTGTTCTGCTTGCTGTTTAGGAAAGTCACACAAATTGTCCTCATTTTCTTCCACTACTATATACAATAAACCTTTTGAGCTTTTATATTCACTGATCTTTGGGGACCTGCTCCATTTCTATCCTTTGATGGGTATTCTTATTACATAGCTTTCATAGATGCATCCACAAGATTTACTTGGGTGTACTTTTTAAAAAGAAAATCTGATGCTCTGTCTGCTTTTACCAACTTCTACAACTATGTTCTTAATCAATTTTCTGTCTCCATTAAGTCCATCCAATCTGATTGGGGTGGAGAATTCAGATCCTTTAATCAATTAGTGTCTGAAAAAGGGTTAATTCACAGAGTCATCTGCCCACACACACACCATCAAAATGGTGTTGTGGAAAGAAAACATAGATCTATTGTTGAAAAAGGTCTCTCTTCTTTCACACTCCTCACTTCCTCTTAAATTCTGGGATGCAGCCTTTGCTACTGCAGTCCATCTCATCAACAGAACACCATCCAAATCCATTTCCAATTCTAGTCCATATTTCAAATTATATAACTCTCATCCAGATTATTCTTTCATCAAAGTGTTTGGCTGCTCGTCTTATCCTTTCATTAGACCATATAATAAACATAAACTTGGTTTTCACTCTGAAGAGTGTATTTTCCTTGGATATTCTCCTACTCACAAAGGTTACAAATGTCTATCTTCTTCATGAAAAATATATATATCTAGAGATGTTATCTTTCATGAATCAAAGTTCCCTTATTCAACTCTTTTTCCCTCTACACCACCTCTATCATCTGAATCCTCATTACCTTTTTCTGCCCCTATATCTATCTCTCTTCCCTTTAAACCCTCAACTATATAATCTAAACCCTCAACTATTACTTCATCTGTATCATCCTCTTTTGATCCTTCAAATCAGTCCTCTTCCAACTCTAAATCTGATTCAACTAATAACAGTCAACATTCTTCAGAGTCCTCTTCCTCAGATTCTAATACACCTCCAGTTCCACCCAACAATACCACTCAGTCGTCATCTTCTATTTCTCCAATTTCTCCTACTCCTGTCACCAACAATCATCATATGAAGACTAGAGCAAAATCTGGGATAGTAAAACCAAGACTTAATCCAACCTTACGGTTAGGTCATACCGAGCCTAACTCAGTGAAGCAAGCCCTATCTTCTCCTCACCGGTTTGAAGCTATGCAGTGTGAGTATAATGCATTGATTTCCAACAAAACCTGGTCCCTTGTACCTCTTCCTCCAGACAAACAAGCAATTGGTTGCAAATGGGTATTTAGAAATAAAGAAAATCCTGATGGTTCCTTAAACAAATACAAAGCCAGACTGGTGGTTAAGGGGTTTCATCAAAAGGTTGGTGTTGACTTTGGAGAAACATTCTCTCGAGTTGTAAAACCTGTGACAATAAGAATTCTTCTTACATTTGCCGTGTCTAATAAATGGTGTGTTCAGTAGCTTGATGTCAACAACACATTCTTAAATGGTGAGATTGGTGAAGAAGTTTACATGGTGCAGCCCCCAGGCTTTCAAGTCAAAGATTCCTCTTTGGTTTGTAAGTTGCATAAGTCCTTGTATGGCCTTAAACAAGCCCCAATGGCTTGGTTTCTCAAATTATCCTCAGTTCTCTATAAAGCTGGCTTTAAACAAAGTAAATGTGATCCCTCCTTGCTCATCTACCTGTCCTCTGGTATTCAAATATACATTTTGATTTATGTTGATGACATCTTAGTTATTGGAAATCAGCCTACTGTTATCCATCAACTTATCAAAACACTTGACTCATCTTTCTCTCTAAAGCACTTGGGAGATCTTGATTTCTTTCTGGGTATAGAAACACACAAATTACCTGATGGCAGCCTACATCTATCCCAGACTAAGTATATCAAGGATTTACTTAGCCAAACTGGTATGCTTGATTCCAATGGAGTAAAAACACCTATGGTCAGCACTTGTAAACTCACTCAAGAGGGCAGTAACTATCTTCCTAACCCTTCTTACTACAGATAAGTTGTAGGGGTTCTTCAATATGCTACTCTTACTCGACCTGATATATGTTATGCAGTCAACAAAGTTTGTCAGTATATGGCTGCACCACTGCAAGAACATTGGCTTGCAGTCAAACATATCCTCAGGTATCTATTAGGTACCATCACACATGGCCTCATCATCAAACCTCTACCTCTATCCTCCATACCTCTTCCAATCTCAGCATACTGTGATGCAGACTGGGCATCTGATCCCAATGATAGAAAATCTACATCTGGTTCATGTATTTTCCTGGGCTCAAACATTATTTCATGGTGGTCAAGAAAGCAACTCAGAGTAGCAAGATCCTCAGCTGAAGCTGAATATAGAAGCCTAGCTGATACCACTGCAGAATTACTGTGGATTCAAATTCTTCTCAAAGAACTCCAAGTGTCTTTCTCCATTCCTAAAGTATACTGTGACAATCTGAGCACTGTACAACTTGCTCATAATCCTGTTCTACACTCTAGGATCAAGCATATGGAAATTGATCTCTTCTTTGTAAGAGAAAAGGTTCATCTGAAGCAGCTTCAAGTCTATCACATCCCTTCTCCTTATCAAGTTGCAGACATTCTAACTAAGCCTCTCTCCAGCTCCAACTTCCTTGAACTAAGAACAAAGCTCAGTGTGGTTGATGCTACTAATCAATCACCTTCACTTTGAAGGGGGGAATGTTAGATATACTCTAGAATAGACTTATTACTATTACTTGTAACAAAATATCTGTTACAGCTTGGTTAGAGTTAGTTAGCCCGTTGACCTAACCAACTCTATATATACTTTGTAATACTGCTGCTTCAGTTTAATGAAATCAATCTGCGTCTTCTCTCTTTCTACTCTCTGTATACTTTCTAATAGTCTGCTACACCCAAACGCCCCGCTACAGGAGGTCTAGAAGCGCTAGACCTTCCCTCCGCTCTGCTTCACCGTTATAGCGCGCAATTGACATCAATGGCTTGTTACAAAAGTACATAGTTGGAAAAGTACTTTTAAGAATCATTCTAGCTGAGCTCTTTTGCCAATAAAAAACTACATAATAAAACTTATTATTGGACATAGTACCTTCTTTCGCTTTCCAGTGACTTTGATTCCACTGCGATCAGATTTCCCCACATTAAAGTCGACAGCAATAATCCCGCCTTCATCCTTGAAGGCAACATGAGTTGAAGCTATCCCAATCACGCACAACCTTTATTCAAAAATCCATTAAATTCAGCTAAGTAGCTAACAATTCTTGCAGCTAAGAGAAAAACATATGTAATACATAGAATTACCCATTAGCATGACGCCGGACATACTGATCATGTCCAGGTTTCATAAAATCTGCAAACAAACACCATTCGACTAAGAATAAATATTCCAGGAAAGCAAGCCATTTCAACATATTAAGACTTCAGTGTCATAATATTGATCTAATAGAAGGTAACCTGATTGACCGAAGGAGTAGCTCAATGTAATTTTGGATCTTGATATGTGATTGTATACCAGCTCTTAGGTTTACCAAAATTTAATTGCTCTTGCAATTTAATTTTCTTTTAGGCAAGTTAAACCCAGTAGGCAAAAAGTTGATGCGTACGTTTATATGTGTTCGGCGTGAAAAGACTTGTATATGAATTATAATCAAAACCTAGGGTTTTACAGTTCTTTAAAATCCATTTTTTATAAGAATGAAAGAACAGATGATAGGGAATGAATCAGAATAGAAGAAACTGCTGTACCAGGAGCATAATAGGTGACGAAGTTGGATTCAACCGCAGATGGAGGAGCGGATGGAAGGTCTTCTATCCTCGGTATTAAAAGTCTCTTTAACTCGTCTTCTTCTTTGATGTCAGCTCCTGAGCTTTCAGAAGTGTCCAAAAGGGAATGAGGACAGCGCCTTGGAGTTTGATGGAAGTTTGCTCTGTCTATGTCTTCAATGCTATTAGCATCCGCTGTGACTTGTAGCTTGGCCATTGCCGGTGCTGCGGTTCCCAGAACACCTACGGATACGGCAAACCAAGTCCTTGGATAAATTACTCTCACAACATAATCGATGTACTCACACTTTCCTTCTTTTCTTATTTGTTAAAGAAATTTACATCAAAACAGTGTTAAAGAGTGCTAAATAGTGTCAAACAGTGTTTCAACAGTGCGAAATAGTGTCTCAACAGTGTCAAACAATGTCAAACAGTGTCTCAACAATGTACTCTACAGTAAAGTTAAATTTATTTTCTTAATCAATGTGAAGTCAAACTATGAAGTTTAAAAAGATCCAGGGGGAGTAATAAAATTCTTTTAATTTTGATTAGTATTTCATCCGTGCGTTGCACAATTGTAAAACACTAATATTATAAATCTAAATCATTAATTAAAGATTTTATTATAATTTATCACTAGAATGAGAGTAATCATTACTAAATGCATAATAAAAAATATTTGAAGTTTAATACGCATACAATTTTACAAATTATTGAAGACTTCTTTGTAGACAACATTTTTTGCGGTTTTTTCTGCTTATCCTCGTCGTCGCCCTAGTTAGCTTTTTTGCGTTTAAAACGCGTTTTAAACACGTACCGTTTTTTGAACAAAAAACGCGTTTAAAAACAAAAAATAATGTCGGTCCGTTTAAAAAGGAAAAAAAACTTCAACTTTCCGTATAAAACATATATTTCCCGTATTTTACAAAAAATAAAAACATCATTTGATCACTTGAATGAATACATCAAATGAATAAGAGATCAACAATAGTTTAAAAGCAAAAAAAGAAAACCTCATCCTCGTGACCCCGTGTTTTTTTATTGTTACAATACAAAATATACAATTGGTAAATACTACGTCCAAAAAGGTTGAATCCCCAACCCCAAGGGGCCCCCACCCCGACCCGACAGGATGGTGGGGGAGTAAATCACAGTGACTCAGTCGACAAAGCGGCAGTAGGCCTTTACCCGTGCGCACCAGAGGGTCAGCCTTATTTCAGGTTCTGAAAACCCCCTTTTGGCCGCTGCGGGATTCGAACCTTGGTCTACATCCAATTTTTCCCACCGCTCGACCAACTGAGCTACCCGTGCGGGTACAATTGGTAAATACTAAAATTAATTGCATGATGACTAAAGCTAGCATCCTAAAAGACTAAAATCTGAAATGCTACTACGTATTAGATTTGTGATGTTCTTTTCCAAACAAGCATATCAAATTTAAGGTTTTTCTAAACTTGACATTTTTTAGTTTAAACTTTTACACATAAACAATAATAAGTGTAGCAATCGCATAACTTTCTTATGTCATCCGTCACCTATGTGAAAATGATGTGTTTAACTTGAGTGTTATTTGATGATCATATAAAGATGATGATGATGATGATGATGATGATGTTAACTTGGCCTCATTCTATCGTTGTTATGCCTTATTTTCTGACATTACTTTGCAAAATTATGTCTTGGACTTGGTTACTTCGTACTATTTTTACTTTTGTGATCGACTTATGCAATTACGAATTATTTTTTTATGTAGTAATGTGATTTGCTACTTCAATATGTGTACACTCTTATTTCTTTTTATTATATATATGTTATTTTATTAAGTATATAATTTAAATTTTAGTTTGGACTTAATCAGTATTTCTTTTTTGTGATGAACTTATGCTATTATGAATGCATTTTTTTTGGAGTAATGAGATTTATATTTGAATGTGTGTGTATGTTGAGTATCCTTTATGTACTATATGTTTTTTATGCTCTAAAAGCTAGTACAATAATTTAATCATTCAAAATCAGACCCGTATTTTTAATCCGAATTTTTTAAAGAGATGTTGTATTATACACGCATACGTATTTACACGTTTTATAAAAGTCAATGTATTTTCTGCCAAATTTTTGACCGTATTTTTTGTTCAAGTTACCGAATAAAACACGTACGTATTAAATCACGTTTAATTCCCGTACCGTATTTAACTAACTATGGTCGTCGCATATCACGAACTTCAATCTAGACGGACTCGTCACTCTCGAAACTGCAACATATAACTGTCCATGTTTAAAAACCGGACGTCGTAGAAAAACACCCACATTTTCTAACGACTGTCCTTGGCTCTTGTTCATCGTCATTACATAGCTAACCGTCAAGGGGAATTGCCTACGCATAAATGTGAAAGGTAGCCTCACATCCGACGGGTTTAGACTAATCTTGGGGATAAGAAGTTTCCCACCTACATTAGTTTCAAACATCATCCGTGCCTCAATAATATGTTATCCAAGTTTTGTCACTAAAAGACGGATACCATTACACAGGCCAGCCGAATGATCTATAATCCTCATGATCTATTTTACAATATACTTACCATTTTACCACTTTTGATTCCAATAAGTGTTTGGTATGTTTTACTAAGCTGATCTAAAGTATTACCATATACATGCAGACTTTACATACATATGCATCATAGTTATTACCCTTCTCGAGCACTGCCTTACAAAATCTATAATTCAACATCTATACGGAGCAAAATATAAGTGAACATATTCATATAACTCAAGCAAAGAATATAAGTAAAATGAGGATATTATTAGGAAAAAAATAATTGAAAACACATGCCCTTTATTGTAATTCAAAACACAAACAGTGCATAAAATCCAAATCTTATAATAGGTAAAAATAAACCCCAAAGGAAAAGCGCAATATAAGTGATAAAATTGAAAAGAAAACAAAGAACAATATTTCATCTAACTGGAACAATAGATATAATGTCACGGCTTTTCAATTTTCACGGACTTCAATTTCTTAGTAGATGATCCCTGAGTTGAGCCATCGCCATTCGGAGTTGATGTTCCTTCTATTTTTTCGACGACGTGAAGTCGAATTTGAGTATCGGTTGCATCATTCTCCATGTCCGATGTAACCTTCAATAGGATTTAGAGGGTGTCAAAAATATTAATCAACAAATGAAAAATAATGTTTGATACTTCGCTAGAATGTAGCAAAAGTATTTTTTATTCATTTAAGTGTTTATAATGCAGAGTTAGGGGCATACAACATTCGATCCTACTGTAGTTGCTCCGGTTTCAAAAAGCAATTCGAGATCTTCATCGGGATTATGTGCCTGTTCAATTTATGTGATTATTTTGAATGAAAAAAAATACAAACAATAGTCCATCCATCCAAGTCTAAATATATTACCTCACTAATTGACTCTTCAGTTGCTGTCCTTTTAATCTCATCTATTTTTTCTCTATTCTTTGAAACCATGCTTATGGCATAAATCTGTCCGCCACTGCGAGGAACCAAATCTGCACGGTTGATTTTGAAAAGGTACTCTTGGCCAACCAGTTCATTTATGGTATCAGGACAACTTGTTGTTCTACGACTATCCTATAACACATAAAATGATTAGAAGTTACATACTGAAAAGCCATAATTTAAATATTAAAGTGTACAATAGATTTACAATAATGGTGTACCCTGTCAAGATGCTCACTAAAATCGCTTGCAGCCTTTCCAAGAAATTGGTGTGCCGCATCATCCCAAAATATCACATCTGCAAAATGTCTTACGTGCCTAACTTTGAGTTTCAGTGTGTATCGCCATATGCCATTAGGTCTATGCATTCCACACTTCTCACACATGTAATCATCATTTAGTTTCTTGAAGCACTTCATTTCGCTACATCCAAGATACGCCCAATTTCGCGAGGAAATTATTGAATATACTTCACCATAGAATCAATATCCACGTACCTATCACATTTGCAAATGAGATGTATCCATAAACGGAATGCAAAACTTCAAGACATTAAGAAAAAATATAGAATAATGAAATCGATAGATATATAATGATCTCACTAAATTAATTAAGGTTTAAGATCAGGAAAGAGGTTTAAGCTATGTATGCATACATATCAATCGCAAATATCAAAGAGGATTTTACAATGCGAAGTTTAAGCACAAGAATATGCTGATACGTGAAATTTCTTACACGATCTAACAAAAAAATCTAACTAAAAAATTAAGATGTTTTGCATCTAGAAGCCCCATTTCCATTCTTTGTTGATTAATTTTCAATTTAGCCAACTTTTTGTTGTTGTTTAATACGTATCTTGTGATGTTAATACATTGTTGTATTAAATTAGTAGTATTTTAATTGATCTGGCATATGAATGATTATTTAACAATTACATAGATGTAAATATGAAAAGTTTACCTCTTTCATCGTGGAAAGCTATGACAGCACTTTTGTAAAACCAACTTCAGTAGATGTAGTGATGGATGCATTAGATGCACCCGATATAGCGCTATTGGATGGAGTTGGCTGTTGCACCATCACCATATAGCTTCAATAAAGAATTAAGTTCTGTATATTATTTAAACAATTCAAAGTATAATTTGGATGCAATTCTAACTACTTATTGCATGTTCCACTTCAATAGTACGTACCGCCCTCGAAACTCTTCAATTTCTGGAATGTGATCATCTAACAACAATTTTGTGAAATGTAATGAGGAACACACACCCTTCGTATCACCGGCTCCATTAAATTGTCATGATCATAATCTCTAAAACGCAACATAAATTTCAGATAACTAAATATAGAAAAACATTGCATGTTAGTATGTATTAAAAGTACCAAAACATTTATTTATTCGAGTCAATTGCAGGAGCACCATAAATGGATCTTGTATGGGAACCTCTAAAAACCTCAAAAAATGAGTTGAGTAATCACCCCACAGCGTGCACCATATTTTAATGTTCCTGGAAGAAATTATATTCACTTGTTAAAAAAAGAATATTTAAATACTTATTAACTTACATATTTAATAAATGGCTAAAGGGTCAAATAGGTACATGAACTAACTTAAAGTGTTCAATTAGCCCCTTATATAGGAGGTTCTGCTCGACCGTCACCAATTGGGGTGGTTTCCGGTGGAATTTTTTGATGAATTTTTTTGAGCATCTTCTTCATTAAGTCTAGTTTACCCAAACCAAATTTCAACTAAACATTCAACCGGGAAGGTACTCAAATGATATTTTGAAGATAACTGCGCAGTTAAACATCGCAGTACATTTTGGAAAATCATTTAACTGCCTTCCA